GTGGCAGTAGGGGCCTGTGGGAGCAGTGGGGGCCTGGCATGTGTACCAGGCAGTGGGAACAAGCTCTGCCTTGCCCTTGCCCCTGCCTCCTGGGCAGTGGGCAGGCAGTAGGCAGCGGACCCTCCCTCCCTCCCCCCCTTCCCACATTATTGTCCAGGGACCCTGAACTGCCAGCACAGACCTTCCTCTCAGGCTACTGGTGCCAGGATGCAGCTGTGGCAGGCTGACCCGGCCCCCATCAAGGATGAGACCTAAAGGTTCACCCTGGGATCCTCGGGTGAGAGGTGCTGCCGTTGGCCCAGGTGTTTTCTGCAGTGCTGTGGCTTTGTGTGCAGGTTGGCAAGATCTTGAATTTCTGAAAGATGTGGAACTTGCCACTGGAGAGGATCTCGGCTCAGCCAGGCTTAGTGGAAAAGGCAAAGGGAAGAAGAAGAAGTACCCCAACCTCACCAACCTGAAGGCACAGGCCGACACTGCCCGGGCTCGTCTTGAGAAAAAAGTCTTTGCCAAGTAAGAGTGGCTGACTCATCCCCCAAGAGCCCCAATTGAGAGGTGTTTAAAGAGGACCACCTGAGTTCAAGGTCCCAGGGACACCAGGGGCTCCCCTAGCTGTGATTTCCACCTGGATGACCCAGTCAGGCCCTTCCCAGCTAGTGCTGGCCTAGCCAGCCTGGGAGCAGGTGGGACCTGGTCAAGGACTGGGTACCCCTGAGCATTTCCCAGGACAAGAGGTTTGATGGCCAGCCATCATCCTAGTGACGGTGCAGTGGGTGGGACCTGCTGGTGCAGGGTGAACCCTGTATCTCTGGCTCACCCAGATGACCTGGATGACTGGGTGCTGGCCTGTCTGTGCCCTGGTCAGTACCAGTGGATGTTCACAGTGGTAACTTCAGGGAGGACAGTTACCACAAAGACTGGGAGGACGGTGTTCATGCGCAGCCCCAGCAGCGCCATGGGCTCTTTGCAGCCCAGTGTGGGCCTTGTGGCTGGAGGCATCAGCAGGACCAGAGTGCGAAGGCTACCAACCCAGTGACTCCCTGCCTGTCTGCAGGAATGCGGCCCTTTCAAGGCATTGCTTCTCTCTCTCTTGTCACCTCATTCTTGCCCAAGGAAACCCTCAGAGTGTTATTTAGAAAGCCACATGGGACTCTGCCTCCCTTCCCAGATGACCTGCTCACTTGTATGCTCCTGGAAGGGACTCAGTGCACCAGACGGGGTGGGGGGACGGAAGCCCTGCCACATAGCCAGCCTGAGTGGGGTGGGCAGGAAGGGCTCACATGGTGCAAATCCATTTCCCTAGGCCCCCTGGTGAGTGGCCACAAAATCTCTGGGGTGGGGACAGGCCATGTGGGCCTGGAGGAGGCTGCTTGTGGGCCCTAGTGCAGGGCTGGGCTGTGAGGGGCAGCCCATGGTATCCTCTGGTGTCCCGAAGCACCTGGTGGGTCAGGGTGAGGCTGGTTTCAGGGGAAACCAGGCTGGATCAGAGGACAGAGCACCCTGGGGCTCACACCCAGAAGAAATGATGACCAGGGTCTCTCCTGCATTCTCCATGGGGGCAGTGAAGCAGCAGCTGTGTGACCTGGAGCCTCCCTGTAGGAAGGTTCTTAGGGGACCACAGGCAACCTACAGGGGTTGGGGTGAGAGGCAGTGTTTCATGCTGTCCTCAGGTCCTGATCTGGGTAGTAGGTCACACCTTGTTCTGCTCTTTAGGGCAGGGAGGGGACCAGGACTATTGAGGCCTCACACCCTTTGTGTTGCATGGCTGTATGGGTTTTTTGACTCTAGGTGTGGAAGTCAGGGAGCAGGAGCAAGCTGACACTTCTGGGTTGTGATGCGGGCACTGCTGCTGTCCATAGGGCCAAGAGCAGACTATACCTTCATTTTGGGAGGACAGCCAGTACCTGTCTTCAGGGTTGCGGGAGGCCAAGGGGCAGTGTCAAGGCAGGGCTGAAGCTGTCGTCACCTGGGGCAGAGCCACCCACTGCAAACCCAGCTCTGGAACCCCAGTCCTGAGCCTTCCCGAGCCATGCTTTCTGTCCCCTGACAGCTGAGGTTCCTGCCACCCATATGTCTCTGAAGGTGACACCCACAGGAAGTCTGAGAGTGGTGTGAAAGCAACAGCCGCCCCAGGGCCTGTGTCCAGTCCCACAGTTAGGAGCCAGGAGCCCTGGCCAATGCTCCTCTGATCACGTTTTTGCTTTTCCCACAGGGCAGCTGTGAGGAGGGTAGTCTCAGCCATGAACCAGATAGACCAGAAGAAGCACGAGAAGTTCTCAAACCAGTTTAACTATGCACTGAATTAGAGAGCTGGCCCAGGTGTGCTGTGGTCCCCTCTGGTCATCAGTTCCTCATCTCCATCTGTCCTCACACTAGGACAGGAAAGTGGGCACAGGGCAGTATCCATATCTTGCCTATTATTGTATGTGTTTAACATAAGGAAATGATGCATTCAAATGTCCTGGGAGCATGGCCTCTCTGCCTCCATGAAGGGCCACCACCATCTGGATGCATGCCTGGCCTTGAGCCTGGGGATGTGGACATGGGCAGTGGGCATCTCAAAAGTTCTTGTGAGGCCTGTATGTGTTGTGATATGTGGTTCAGAAGTGATGTAAAGTACACGCAGTGCAATGTTCAGAACATGTTCCCCAGTCAGGAAGCCACTCAGAGGAACTCTGGGAAACCTACACTATTATGCAGATACTGCTTTTAACACAGACATCAGGGGTTTGCACTTGTGTCTCCAGCTTCATAGGACAGTATCCTGTTGACAGTTTCAGATCATAATAGAGAACTCTCTCATTCCTTTTGACTTTTTTTTTTTTAAAGTCAGAGTTTCACTCATGTGGGCTGGAGTGCAGTGGGACAATCATGGCTACTGCAGCCTCCACCACCTTCCATCTCAGCCTTCCAAGTAACTAGGACTGCAGGCGCACACCACCATGCCTGGCTAATATATATCTTTTCTTTTATTGTAGAGATGAATTGTCACCATGTTTTCCAGGCTGGTCTCTAACTCTTGAGCACAGGCAGTCATCTTGCCTTGGCCTCCCAAAGTGTTGGGATTACAAGTGTGAGTCACCGTGCCTGGCCCTTTTGGCTTTTGAATGATAGTTTTTTTTGGGATATAACTTTTTTTTTTTTTTGAGTTGGAGTCTCACTCTGTCACCCAGGCTGGAGTGCAGTGGCACGCTCACAGCTTCCACAGCCTCGAACCTGCTGGGCTCAAGATGATCCTTCTGCTTCAGTCTTCCAAGTAGCTGGAACTATAGGGATGTGCCACCATGCCCAGCTAGTTTTTTTAATTTATTGTAGAGACACGGTCTCGCCATGTTGCCCAGACCAGGCTCAGGCAATCCTCTTGCCTCGGGCTCCCAAACTGCTGGGATTACAGTCTTGAGCCACCGTGCCTGGCAGAATCCATTCTTTTAAAAAGAATCAATTCAGTGACAGTAGGTATATTCACAGTTGTACAGCCACCTCCCCTGTCTAGTTCTGGAACTTTTTTATCACCGTGAAGGAAACCCCACACCAATCAAGCAATTATCTTCCCCCGTCCAACCCCCAATTCCTTGGTAGCAACTCATCTACTTTCTGTTCTGGATTTTCATTTTCTGGACAGTTCATATGAATGAGTCACATATTGTATGTGGCCTTCTGTCTCTGGCTTCCTTCACGAAGCATAATGTGTTCAAGTTTCTTCCATGTTGTAATATATCAATACTTCATTCCTTTTTATTGCCCAATAATATTCTGGTATATAGATGTCCTACACTGTGTTTATCCATTCAGTGTGGACATCTGGGTGATTCCTGCTTTTATGAATAATGCTGCTGTGAACATTTGTGTACAGGATCTTGGGTGGACATACGTTTCCATTTCTCTTGGAATATACTAGGAGTGGAACTGCAGGTCTTTATAGTAGTTCTGTGTTTAGCTTTTTGATGAACTGCCAAACTGTTTTCCACAGTGGCTGTTCCATTTTGCATTCCCTCAAGCCATGGATGAGGGTTCTGATTTATCCATATTGCTGCTACTACTTCTCATTATCTGTCTTTAAGTTTTAGCTTTCTTAGTGAATGTGATGTGGTATCTCATTGTGGTTTTGATTTGCATTTTTCTAATGACTAATGATATTGGGCATCTTTTCAAGTGTTTATTGGCCATTTGTATATCTTCTGTGGAGAAATATCTATTCAAATCTCTTTCACATTTTTAATTGGATTATTTGTCTTGAGTTGTAAGATATATATATCTTAGACTAGACTCTTATATGATTTGCACACATTTTTGTCCATTACTGTCTTTTCACTTTCTTAGTAGTGTCCTTTGAAGCACAGAAATTCATTGCAATAAAATCTAGTGCATCTATTTTTTCTTTTGTTGCTTATGCTTTTGGTGTCATATCTAAGAAACCATTGCCTAATCCAAGATCACGAAGATTTACACCTATGTTTTCTTCTAAAAGTTTTTCAATTTTAGCTCTTACATGCAGATATTAGATCCGTTTTAACTCAAGCTTTGTATGTGGTATAGGTATATTCTTTTGCATGTGGATAGGTAGCTGTCCCAGCATTATTTGTTGAAAACATTATTTCCTCTTTGAATTGTCTTGGCACTTTTATTGATCATCAATTCACCATAAATGTATGGACTTATTTCTGGTCTCTCAATTCTATTCCATCATTTATATAACTTTATGCCAGTACTACAGAGTCTTGATTAATGTTACTTTGTGGTAAGATTTAAATTTGGTGAGTGTAAGTCCTCCAACTTCCTTTTATTTCAAGATCGTTTTGACTATTCTGGGTCCCTTGCATTTCCAAATGAATTTTAGGTTCAGAGCATCATTTTCTGCAAAAGAAGCAGCTGAGATTTTGATGGGGATTGCATTAAGTCTGTAGATTGTACGTGTGTGTGTGTGTGTGTGTGTGTGTGTGTGTGTTGTGTGTGTTGTAGTCTCACTCTCACTCTGTCACCCAGGCTGGAGTGCAGTGGTATACTCACGGTCACCCCAGCGTCCTCCCACTGGGCTCCGGCAATCCTTCCGCCTCAGCCTTCCAAGTAGCCAGAACTACAGGTGTGCACTACCACGCCTGGCTAATTTTTTTTATTTAAAAAAAATTTTTTTTTTTTTTTGAGTTGGAGTCTCACTGTCACCCAGACTGGAGTGCAGTGGCCGTTCCCGGCCACCGCAGCCTCGACCTGCTTGGCTCGGGATCCTTCCGCCTCAGCCTTCCAAGTAGCTGGAACTACAGGCTCACGCTACCACGCCCAGCTAATTTTTTTTGATTTATTGTAGAGATGAGGTCTCGCCTGCCCAGGCAGGTCTCGAACCCGCGGGCTCAGGCAATCCACTCACCTCAGCCTCCCAAAGGCGCAGGATTACAAGCTGAGCCACCGAGCCCGGCAAAAGTAAGTTTTCTTTTTTTTTGAGTTGGAGTCTCACTCTGTCGCCCAGACTGGAGTACAGTGGCCGCTCCTGGCCACAACAGCCTCGACCTGCTGGGCCCCGGTGATCCTTCCGCCTCAACCTTCCAGGTAGCTGGAACTACAGGCGCGCACTACCACGCCCTACTGATTTTTGATTTATTGTAGAGATGAGGTCTCGCCAAGTTGCCTAGGCGGGTCTCGAACCCGCGGGCTCAGGCATTCCACTCACCTCAGCCTCTCAGAGGCACGGGGTTACAGGCTGAGCCACTGAGCCTGGCAAATTTTTTTATTGTAGAGACGAGCTGCCCAGGCTGTTCTTGAACCTGCAGGCTCAGGCAATCCACTCGCCTCAGCCTCCCAAAGTGCTGGGATTACAGACTGAGCCACCAAGCCCGGTTGATCGTATCTTAGTATTAGATTTTCTGATTCATGAACTTCTGATATCTTACCATTTATTTGGGTCTTTTAAATTTTAATTAAACAGTGTTTTTCAGTTTTCAGTATATAAGTCTTGCACTTGTTTTGTTAAATTTATTCTAAGCATTTTATTATTTTTGATGTAATTAAATGTAATTGTTCTGTGAATTTCATTTTGTGGGTATTCATTGCTAATGTGTAGAAATACAACTGAATTTTGTATATTGAACTTGTATCCTGCAACCTTGCTAGACTTGTTTATTAGTTCTAACAGTTGTGTCTTTCTTAAGATTCTCTGTGTACAAAATCATGTCATCTGCAGACAGCTTTTGTTCTAATCTCTATTTTATTTCTTTCTCTTACCCAATGGCTGGCTTGAACTTTCATTATGATGTTGAATAGCAGCAGCAAGAGCAGGCATCCTTATCTTAAGGAAAAGCTTCAACCTTTCACCATTGAGGATGATATTCATCGTGGGTTTTTTCATAGGTGCCTTTTATCAGGTTGAAGAAGTTTCCTTCTCCTCATTTGTTGAGTGTTTTTGTCATAATGGTTGAATTTTGTCAAATGCTTTTTCTATTGAGATGAGATTATGTAATTTTTGTCCTTATTCTATTGCTATGATATATTATTTTTCATATGTTGAACCAACCTTGCATTAATGGGATAAAGTCCACTTGTTTGTGATGTGTGGTCCTTTTTTATGCTGCTGGATTTGGTTTTCTAGGACTCTGCATCTATATTCATGAGAGATACTGGTCTGTAGTTTTCTTGTGATATCTTTGTCTGGCTTTGGTAACAGGGTACTACTGGTCTTATAACCTGAGTTGGGAAGTGTTCCCTTGCCTTCTTTATTTTGGAGAGTTTGTGAAAGATTGTGTTTATTATTTAAACATTTGGTGGAATTTACCAGTGGTCTGTGGCTTTTCTTTGTTGAAATTTCTTTTATTACTAATTCAGTATCTTACTATAATTCTTATAGGTCTTTTTCAATTTTCTGTTCCTACTTGTGCTAGTTTCAGTAGCTTGTATCTTTCTAGGAGTTTATCCATTTCATCTAGGTTATTTGTTACATTTTGCTGACATACAATTTTTCATAGTATCTTCTGATTTTAGTCCTTTGAGTTTTCTCTCTTTTTCCTCTTCAGTCTCGCTTAAGACTTGTCGATTTTATTGATCTATTCAGAGGAACAGCTTTTGGTTTTGCTGATGGTTCTCTATATTTTTCCATTTTTTATTTCACTAATTTCTACTATAATCTTTATTTCCTTTGAATTGCTTTGGGTTTAGTTTCTTCTTCTTTTACTTGTTTCTACAGATAGATTAGCTCATTGATTTGATATCTTTTTAATATACATAGGTATTTGTACATTTTCATCTACATGTTGATTTAGCTTCATCCCTTAAGTTGGGATATATTGTGTTTTTGTCTTTTTTCTCACAAAGTATTTCTAATTTTTCTAGTAATTTCCTTCTTTGCCTGTTTATTTAGGGGCTTGTTGTTTAATTTCTATATACCTGTGAATTTCTTAAGTTTCTTTCTGTCATTGATTTCTTATTTTCCCTTGTGGCCAAAGAGCATACATTATATGATTTCAGTTCTGTTAGTCGTGTTGAGAATTATTTTGTGGCCCAACATGTTTTCTGTCCCAGAGAGTGTTCCACGTGCACTTGAGAAGAATGTTCTGCTGTTGCTGGGTGAAGTGTTCTGTCGGTGTCTGCTGGGTCTGATTGGTTTGTGACGCTTAGGCTTTCTCTTTCCGTGTTGATCTGCTGCCTAGTTGTTAGGGTTCATTATTTAAAGTGGGGCATTAAAAGCTTCAGCTATTATTGTTGACGTTTCTTCCTTCAGCTTTGTCTGGTTTTGAACCATGTATTTTGGGTCTTTGCTGTTAAGGGTATCCATGCTTATCCTTGTTATTTTTTTTCTGTTGGA